ATGCTTTGCCCTCTTGCAGGGTCAGCCCAGAGAAGATGGCTTTTGGGATTGCTTCTCATCTACCAATGCTTCTTTGGTCAAAGGGAGGAGGGCTCTAAATGGCTCCTGTTAGTAACCCAGATGTCAGAAGCTTATGGAGTTTATCTGGAGGAAGGAAAGCATGAGCTGATGGTGACAGAGGTTAAATGCATTATGTAACCCCAAAGTTTGCATTTTAAAGATCACCATGGCACACAGAGCAATAAACTTGAAACAGCAGCTCCTCCTTCCTTGAAGTATTTTGTTGTGAATTTTGCACGTGAGCAATGGATAATTAGAAACAGGGTTTTAGTCTACAAATACATATTGAGAAATGAACACTAAAAAACCCTTAAAGCAACATAAGGCCTTTAAATAGATTACAACTTGCAATGACTCTAAGGTATTAAGGTTATTACATGGAATATAAATAGGAGTTATGCTCCTGAGTGACTTAAATTTCCATGTTGCATATCTATACAGTTTCTATTAATCACTTAATATGGAATGCGGTATTTGTGATGAACTGCTGAAAAAGATCTTTGTTTTTCTCTGACTTCCCATGCTCACGCTCAGTTTTCTTCAGCTGACTGCTTTATTTATGATTTGTTGAAACAGCCATATGCATCTAGCTAGTCTACAAGCTGTTTGGAAGAGTGGTATTATCTCCATACACATTTATGAGGAACTCTGTTAGCAAGAAAATATCAAAACCAAATTAGCAACTATTTTTTACCAGTTGCATATTCTACTGCTGTAAGTATTTTTATTCAGGATGCTCTTATTGCAACAGCATCCTTATGCTTGTCTTCCTTGTTGCCTAAATTGCATGAGAATTTATTGAATTTGAGGTGGGGGCCAGTTCTTTTATTTATTGGACATTCCCAGCTAACTGCTCACTGTTAATGATACTTTGGCAGCTGTTAGCTTCCTGTTTTGCTGCATCTTCCCCATGTTTGCCATGTATGCTATTTAGATTAAATAGCTGTTTAGATTAAAGCTTCCATATTATTTAAATTAATTAGCCATTTTTTTCTGCTTGAGTCTAACTTTCACATCTGTTCTAAATCTTTTCCTATAAACCTGTGAACGGCAAGAACACCTTCTTCCTTATTCCCATTCCTCTAACATGCTAAATAAGCATGGATATTAATCTTAATATTAAATTTTCACATCTGGAATATCTTGATAGAGTTCTCTCCTGCTACTTATGAAATCTGATAATAACACAGAATAGTGTTACGTATGTATCATCTCCCTTATGGTTAGAGATCAGGCTTTCCTGAATATCCACTTGTAACAACTACATATGTTTTGCTTCTGATTGCTCGTCCAGTATTGCATGCTCTATTAAAGAGGTGTTACAAGAAGCAGTTTCAGGTGGTCTATTAGAAAAATAACACGTTTTATCCCATCTTATCAGTGTCTCAATGACCATTTACAACTCAGCTTCTGACCTGATATTCTTTTAATGCAATGCCTTGTGGATAGATTTGGTGGTCTAAGATTGTTTTTCTAAGGGACAGAGGTCTCCATTACAACTCATCACACAAATTGGCAGCTTGCTAATAAATCTCAGCAAAGGCACCAAGGATGAGTAGATATGGAAGAAGTCTCTTGTCTCCCATGTCAGAGCCATGAAAGATTTATAAAGGAAACATTATAGTGCTGCTGCCACTAATGCTGAAAAGAGAGATTTTGCCACTGAGTTTAGCAAACCAGAAATCCTCACAAATGCTGTAATTTATTAAAATCCTGTGTCAGTGACTTACACTACAGATATTAGTATGAAATTTATAGTATGGCATAGTAACTATTCCTGGCACTCTAGACTTGTTTAGCCCAGCTATAGAGATTTGAATAGCAAAGGGTCTGAAGAAGGAGTAAAACCAAAAGTTCACAACATATGCTCAACACCCAGGCACTTTTTATAAGTTTTACATTGGATCTTTTATCCCTAAAAATATGTATATCCATTACAACTTCAGAAGAGCATCTGAAATAGAGCACTCAGTAATATTAGACTGAATTAACAAAGTATAGTTGCATGGCAGAACAGGAGGGTTTACAGTGACTAGTAAAGTCACTGTACCTCGTTTGGTTGAGAAGTGGTCAGTTCTGGTGAAGGGTGGAAAGGCAAGCTGAGCTAGGAGAGTAGGTCAAAGCAACGTGTACAGCAAATGTAAAGAGGAATCAAATGCACAGTAAAGGCACAAGAGAGAGAATCATGCAAATATTTGATTTCCCAGACTGATTGTTTTTTACGATACAACCTTCTGTGTTGCTATGGGCTTCATATAATTAGTTTTGCTGGCCTCTGAGAGCTGTACTCAAACCACTCCTATCAGCAGTATGCGTGCCTATTCCTTTTAATGTTTTTCAAGTTCTACTATTGCTGTATCCATTTTGTATGGTACGTGTGTGTGCAGACACACTCAGCTTTTCAATGAGCTTGATTTGAGTTCAGTGCAGCAATGCTACATTAAATGGCTATTTTCTAACTCATAGATCTGGAAAATGGGGTTTAATCAATGACCATTAGACCTTGTGCTCTCTTCTGGCATAAAATGCCTTCTTTCATCCAGGGTTACTGTATTGTTGTTTTAATAAGTTATGACTGGCATTTGGCACTCAGCTACATGGGCACAGAGGCCTTATTAGCAGGAAGAAATGGAAGTATTATGGAATAAAACAATCAGGTGGGACAGGATAACTCACAGCAATGAAATACCATGCATTTCACTATTGAATTTCCCCTACAAGTACAAGAAAATAAAGCTAACAAAGGTAAAACACATCTCTGCTTAGGATATTGTCCTGAAAGCTTATTTTCTATAATTGAAGGCCACCTCATAAGAGGTTCTGAGCATGTGCACTTCTCCTTGCAACCAAAAGTCCTACCCATAGGCTCTTTACTAGGTTTACTTCAGTTAAAAATCAGCTTGTGTGCTAAATCTGTACACTGTTTATGTCACACTTAAATCTTCAAATGTTTTCTTCAGCCAACCTCAAAAGGTTAAAGTAAGAAGTGACTGATACAGAATCTCTTCTGTGCCCCTAGCAGTAAGAGAATTTCTCTTGAATTTCCTTCCTGATACTTCAACATTGCAAAAGAAACTGAATTGCAAAAGAGCCAATTCTGTGAGACAGAAGAGTCCTGGAAGCCTCAGTCCTGAAGAGCCTATCCTAAAGCAGAGCCACCACAGTTCATTCATTGGTTCTCAGCTCCTCACAGTAACCAGCCAGACCACACAATGCCTTTTTGCCTCAGAAGGAATAAACAGGTTGTTTGCACAAGGCAAAGTGTCCAGGTTTGCCAGATTACTGGTGGGAAGAACCATATTCTGTCTTATCTAGACTATACAGAGCTGATAGCAAGACATTATGAACATGCATATTCCTTCATCCTTTCCTTTAAGAACAGACACAGACTCACATTTTAATATTTTACTTCCTTGTTCTTATGTAGGTTTCAGATATGGACTGTCATCAATTGGTGACTCTGTCTCAAAGTCTCACAGGCTACCTCAAATCATACAACACAGAATCATAGAATGTCTTGGGTTGGAAGGGACCTCTAAAGGTCATCTAGTCCAACCACCCTACAATAAGCAGGGATATCTCACACTAGAACAGACTGCTCAGAGCCCCATCGAGCCAGACCTTGAATGTCTCCAGGGATGGGGCCTCCACCACCTCTCTAGGAAACCTGTTCTAGTGATCTACCAAACTCAGATTAAAGAACTTATTCCTAATGTTCAACCTAAATCTACTCTCTCTAGCTTGAAACCATTAGCCCTTGTCCTATTGTTACATGCCCCAGTGAACAGGTCTTCCCCAGCCTTCTTACAGGTTCCTTTCAGGTATTGGAAGGTCACTATAAGGTCCCTCCAGAGTCTTCTCTTTTCAGGCTGAACAACCCCAACTCCCTCAGCCTGTCTTCATAAGAGAGCTGCTCCAGCCCTCTGATCACTTTTGTTGCCCTCCTCCGGACATGGTCCAACAGGTCCACATCCTTCTTCTGTTGGGCACACCAGAGCTGGATGCAGTGTTCTAGGTGAGGTCTCACCAGGGCAGAGTAGAGGGGCGGAATCACCTCTCTCGATCTGATGGCCACACTTATTTTGATGCAGCCCAGGATGCAGTTGGCCTTCTGGGCTGCAGTTGCACATCGGTGGTGGCTCACATCCAGCTTTTGATCCACTAGTACCCCCAGGTCTTTTTCCACAGGGCTGCTCTCAGGCATGTCCTCCCCCAGCCTGTATTCATATCTCTGGTTGCCCTGTCCCAGGTGCAGGACACTGCACTTGGCCTTGTTGAACCTCATGAGGTTCACCTAGGCCCACTTCTCCAGCTTGTCCAGATCCCCCTGGATGGCATCCCATCCCTCTGGCATATCAACTGCACCACCCAGCTTGGTGTCATTAGCAAACTTGCTGAGGGTGCTCTCAATGCCACTGTTGCTCATCAGGGGGGTACACTTTGACTTTCCTTTTCTAGTTTACCTACCTGTAGAAGCCCTTCTTGTTTATCTTTACATCCCTTACCAAGCTCAGCTCCAGCTGCACCTTGGACTTCCTGACCTCATCCCTACACAACCTGCCAGCATCCCTACACTCTCCCCACTTGCACTGCCTGTGCAGTTGCATCTTGCCTTTTAGTTTGACCAGCAGGTGTCAACTCAGCCATGCTGATCTCTTGTGTTCCTTGCCCAATTTCCTACACCTGGGGATCGAGATCTCTTGCACTGTATGGAAAGCATCCCTAAAGATCTGCCAGCACTATTGCCAGGCCTCGACCAGGTCCACACCAGACTGTGTCCCCCCACCCCAACATGAGAAAATTTTCTTCCTTTTGCTGTTTTCTTTTCAACTATGCCAGCAACTGAGAAGCTAATACACTGGGGTATACACATATCTATACACTGTCCATGAATAATAACACTTTAATGACATCTGGGGTTCAATGAAGCAAGGACTTACGCTTGGAATGTTTGTCACAGAGAGCTGATGCCCTCATGTCACAGAGTCTCAGGGATCCTTTGCTGCTGCTGTAGACAAAGAGATTGCAGTGATGGGGATGAAACTCAGAGGCTGTAATCACTTCCGTCAGGTCCTCCATATTGGCTGGCTTTATATCTACAATATCTGAATGGAAGCTTCATTAAGGAAAATGCAGTTGTATGCAGGAAAACCAGTACTCCTACTGTCGTCATGAAGGAAACATGATTATCTTTACATTCAAACATTTAATACTTTTAGATAAAGATATACTCAGTGCTTTGGCAGTAGGTGTTTTAAATTTGTATACCTGCCCCATCTACACCAAACTCAGAGCCACTAGCCAACAACAGTTCTAACAGCAGATGCTATCAATAGGTGAACATTTGTCCATGCTGTGCAGACATGAAAGAAGCAGTATTCCAGGGATTTTGTAATTCTCACCTTCATTAAAACCAATAGAAAGCAGGCAGCTGCATCTCCTGTAGTTGCTAATGAAATCATTGCTCTGTCCTAGGTAATACTGACTGACAGAGTACAATGAACAGCTCAAATGAACTCACTCCAGCAAAGACTCACTTGTTCTCATGATCATGCAACTTAAGGCTAAAAAATACACACAGCTTAAGTTAAAAGCCTCAAACAATAAATGTACTTTTTTGCAAAGGCAAATGTAGCAAACACAGAAGCATTTATGCAAATTGTTTTGTGTGAATACATAGGAATACAGTATCCTTTCTAAAATAATTGTGCACCCTATTGGTTTTGCTATTTGAATACTTGCCAAAGAAGTATCTGAAATGTCATTTTTGGGTTTTGATGTAAATGATGTTCATTACTGAATTCAGTATGAATTTCTGTGACTGCGAACTGTACATCTGAATCATACAAGTGGACATATCTGGAACAAAAAGACCTCAAAGATCTAGTTTCCCAAGCACAAACCTGTCCATTGGATCACCAAAGATTATCCATGTGAAGAGCAGCTCACGCAGTGCCTCTCCAACATGTATGTATCCAATCATATACTTTACCTACCATAGTGAGCTTAAAAAAACAGGACCCAATTAGCATGTATTTGGAGAAGGCCAGCCTGTGGGAGATGGCTTATAAAGAAAAGAACGAAAGAAAGAGTCCCATGAGGGTGTTGAAAGGAAGCAGGAAGTATAGAAGCATAAAATGAATGAAGGACATGTAAAGCAGCACATCTGAGTAAGGCTATATGTCTTCATATGGCCCTCAGCAATCTGCTGTAGATAAGCCACTCAAATGTTAACAAATCCTTCGAACAAGAGTAACATTACCCTGTTTTACTGATGGAGCTGTGCAAGAGGCAATAAATGATTTGCATAAGATCACATGGGAAATGACTGACAGAACAAACTCAGATCTACTGAGTCCCAGCTCAGTGCCCTAAACACAAATCATCTCAGTGCCTGGATTCCCAAAACATAAAATTTGAATCAGCTAACGTTCAAAATTTAAACATCTCAGAGGATAAGATAAATGAGAAAATGTGCTTTAGTGATGGGAAGAGAAATCACATATCAGGATACCAAGCCTGTTTCTGTTCCCACTGTGTCCATATCCCAAATGGAAGAACTATAATTGATTTCTGTGGGAATGAGGCACGGTCTAGCACCACCTTTACACTCCTTACTTTGATCTTTCCCAAGAATGCAGATCGGGGACACTACATTGAAATTAAACATAATACAAATGATTCAGAGATAATTATCTTGATGACTTTGCACTGACAAATAAATCCCACTGTTATGTTTTTACACCAAGTGATTTAAAAAGGAAAATATCAGCAAAACTATGAATATTTTGTGAGATTTAGTAACAACTGGGAATGAATTAACACTGCATTTCAACTGTACTCCTACTTACTTGCATTCTCACATTTGCATCCAACTCCAGGAATCCATCATTATTAATATTAATGTAATGAATGCTACAAAGTAGCAACATTAATTTACTCATTAAGCATCATTAAATATTTTTTTAAAACAACAGGAAAAAATAACCTTTATTCAGCCATTTTTATTTGCTGAATCTGTGTAAAGAAATACCTTGAAGTAAAAGTAATGGCTTTCTGTGATTGCATTGCTTTCAGGAGTTCAGAGAAATTATAGTAATTCAATAGAAGAATTTCACCTCTCAGCAGAGAGGTTAATAATTGCTGAATGATGAGAAAGACATAAAATATAAATAGAGTATGCGAAACAGACATAGTAAGTATAATTTTTCTGGATGCTGAAGACAATATGGATGAATTTCCCTTCATCACATGCAATTAATAACCCTATGCTGAATAATGAAATTAAATATTCCATTCTCCTGCCAGAAAAGCAGAAAATACTTGAAACAGACTGCATTTCCAGATGTGATCTAATTCTCCACTGAGAAAGAACCTCATTGCCTACTGAGGATCATAGAGAAAATGCACCACTGAAAATTCATCATTTCGTTAGATTTAGAAAAAATGAAACACTAACACTTGTATTGAAGTAAACAACCAAGGGAATAGAGAGTTGCAGAAGAGATTTACCCCAAAAGCATTTGTAATAATAGATGGGAAAACAGCCTTTGCTTTGACAGCTACAGAAACCAATGTATCAAAAGAAGAACATGTAACACAAGAGCACATTTTCCTTCTCTCATGATTTTTGCCATCTATTTGAAAACAAGTATAGCTTGATGTGTGATGTGTGGGAACACGGGAACTGTATTTAAACTAGCATGACATGGTAAGGGCAAGCTACTCTCATGAGACACTTTGCATTTCTATTTTTCCATCTTCCCTTTGTGTCTTTTCCTTCCTTTTAAGCACAACAATGCACGGCAGACAGTGTGCTTCAGAAACAGGCCCTTTGGTGAACCTGAAAAGCTCAAAGAAGAGGGAATCTGGCAGAAACTGATTAAGACTCTATTGCTAAAGGGGAAAGTATTCTAATGGCACAAATCTGTAGAGTCACCTTCTATGCTAACGGCTTCCCTTCCGCTCACATCTGAAATACCAGTTACATCTGACTCCAATTGTAATGTGGTTCATTTTCAGAGTGTGGACAAAACAACTAGGACCAAAGCTATCTTAGAAAGACCAAAGAGCCCACCATTGGCTATACACTGGGACATAATTCTGTTATCCTGAAAAAGCTGGTATTCCCATGCCTGAACAGGGTAAGAATTTCCTCTAATAAAATTAAAAAGATACTCACAGTGTTTCAACTCCCACACATCCTTACCAAGACTGAGGCATTTCAATCCCAAGTAGATCCTTGCAGCAAGCGAAGCCTGAACTGGTGCCTTGTCAGCAACAGGCTGGAATGATTGGCAGCCTTTTAAGCCATTAACATTAAAACAAGGAACAGAAAATATCTTTGTGCTTGCAAAAAACAGAACATGTCTGTCTCTCATAACCCAGGTGCTTGCCACATTATATACCAGGTCTCTCCTCCACTGCTTGGCTCAGTGAAACAGAATAAAGCTGCAAAGAGGCCAACAGATTTCTAGATGCACTCTGCAGCAAAATGGAAATGAAAGGTCCAGTGGAGGCAAATGGTGAGAGATTACATTCTTATAGAGGGGTTAGTAGAGCTACAAGACCAGGAGTTCATTTTGGTAAAGGCAACAAGGTTACTCATTGCTCTAAGGCAATGAACCCTTAACTTTGGCTAAGAGTGTCTATGCTGCTTTTCCGACTGGAACAAGAAAGAATGTT